AGTGTTTTCGTATGGTTGATAGGAGATAGGTACGGAGATTCTGTTACGGCGGCGTCTAGACGTTCAACCATTTCATGCGGGTAATTTGGAGCTGCGATCGAGGATGCAGGCTTCTTCTGACACCCAAGCCATATGTAGTATGGAATAAAGCCCAATAAGTTGTTTCTTGAGTCTGCGCTGAGAACGGTTCCAAATCGATATTCGAGGTAATCTCTACGACCAGCCTCTAAGTTGACGCGGTCGACATCGAACCATGCTCGCCAGAAAAGTCTCCCTAACCAGTTCACATGTCGATTTATCACGCCACCAGTGTAGTTTCTAGAGCTGAGATCCACAATAGATTGGACGTAGAAGTCTACAACACCGATCATTCCCGAAGGAGCGAGTAAGTTGGCCAGAGAGTCGATGACAGAATAAAAGTCAGGCTACAAATGATTAGCAACTGGGATATTCCTACGTCAACATAATCGTCGAACACTCACAATCATAGATAAACTGTAGGACAAAGTAATGAGATCTGCACCACCAAAAGGGTTCGAATCCGAGAAATAATTCGAAGTAGGTGACCGCGAGAGATTGGCATCCCCAAGCTCAATATCTTCATGGTCTTCCAGACGAAATGTGCGAGCATCCTGACATACAACCTTGACATTTTTCCAGCCAAGCCGCTTGAATCTTTTTCGTGCGACTTCACATAGACTGGGAGAAAAATCAACAAGATAAACGCGAGAGAAGAACTCTGGAACCGAGACATATTCAGACATCGCCTCGATATTCCAACCGGTGCCGCCACCAATCTAGTCGTGATTATTAGCAATTTGGATGCTTCACAAGGACTTCATCGTGGGAAAGTGCTATCTTCTATATTTTCTCAACCAAGAAAAAACTTACATCAACCCAAATGCGTTTGGTGTCATGAGTACGTTCCCTACTCGCCTTGTTGACCAATTGTGCCGCCACCAAGGCCAGCATATCTTTTCTCCCCCGCAACAACCTCTTCCTTGTCGCATCATACACCCCCGCCTGTGCTTTGTAAAAACTTTCCAGTGCATCTTGCTGGCCATTTTCGGTACCATCTCCATTATGTGGTTTGAGAAACGACGCATAGAAGAATCTCAAGAAGGATTTTAAAGCACTGGGATTTTCTTCATCTTGTGCCGAGTTCTTGGGGTAAAGAGAAGCATTTCTTGCAAAGAAAATGACAGCAATGAAGAAGAATAAAACCACAACTGTGGTGAAGATTTGAGTTTGAGGCTCTCTCAAAATGTTAAGGGTAAGAGAAGCCATGATAGTCTCTCATTACTCTGGGCAAGGAGATCTCGTACGTAGTTGATAGTAAGGATCGATAATGATAGCAGGAGCGAAAAAAGAAAGATGAGGGGTAAGAGTATGTAAAATATCTAGCATAATCGATTTTCCATCAGTATCAATACCCCTCACTACTCGATGAAGCAACAACTGTGCTCCATTTAACCCAAGTTGCTCAAGAAGCCAATCAACCTATCGAGGCACCACATGGGCGACTATCAAACTGAAGTTCCTGCATAGCAATGTGCATCAAGGGTCCCACTAAGTTAGTATAAAGATAGCCTGGGGGCTCCACGTCTCATAGGCTGCCTCTTTCAGTGAAAGAGGCAATGATTCCGGGGATTTTCGTACTTGAACGGCTTCCACTGTGATCTATGATCATCTGCCCGTTTAGTGAAAACCTTGGGCAGTTGAATTGGATCCCCTACCCCTATGTTTGAGAAATTGATTGGAGGTAGTCCGTACCAAGTAAACATGTGCATAAAAGCAAAACATTAAAAGGTTCGTTGGAAGCTTTGGTATTTGTTCTCGCATTGACCAATCATAAATCATAAAATTAGCACGCGAAAGTTGATTGGCTATCCAACTTAAGCGATGGATATGGAAAAGTGCCTAGATACCTGGATATCCAGCATTGGTTTCGAAAACCTGCACAAATCAACGTAATGACCAAGGGCTCCCTTACTCGTGTAGTCTGGACACACTTCACAATTGTTTACAACATTCATCAATCACCAAGTCTTCTGCATAGACTGGTCACAGATAAGAAACCGTTGGCCGTGGCCAGTTGCATTAATACGAATTCATTTTAAGACTAGGCTATAGCTTCACATCTAATGCTGGCCATACAACATACCATTCATAGAGGTATGCGATCTTTGGCCACCAAAACTCCCGAGATAGATATTCCCAACACAATCACAAGTACCAAGGTTTAATCTTCATCCTCAAAGCCGGCCTCGGAGTCTTCTTCTTTATCCACCTCAGAATCATCATCACTACCTCCCATTTCCTTTTCCTGCTCTCGTTCTAACTTTCTCTTTCTATCATCTTCCCTTCTGCCTTCTTCCAACATCTTTGCCTTCTCCTCTCTCTGTTTTCTTTGCCCAACAACAAATGCTCCCAGTGGAGTCTTTTCCCATTCGAATCCTTTCAAGAAGCCATCTACACCAGCTCGATCGTTGGGTGCGAACTCAACCTTGGCTCTCTTTCCTTCAATCCATTTCGAGTTTGCTTCCAATTTTTGAATGAGGAGTACGAACATAGAGTTTACTTTGCTGTTCTTGTTTCCGGAGCTCTTGTTCGAAGCATCTTTGAGCCATCGCTTTAACATTACGACAACCGGTAATGATAATTCTGGAAGTGCAATACTAGTAGACCAGAGGACAAAGAACTCGGCAAGTAATTCAGCCACCTGCTCTCCAATGCCATCTTGGTAAACTCGTGTACGAAGATAGGACTTTTGAGCTTTGAAATTGGATGTGAAGTCGAAGAATTTAGATGTGCTAGGCTTAGGGGGCTTCTTCATTTCTGCGGAGTTAAGAACCTCGAGTAATACAGATGCTAAAGGAATGTATGTTCCAGTGGCTCGCGAGAGTCGAAGTAATGAACGGATTAAGTGGAATCGGAGTGGGAAATAAGTGGAAGTTGGAATAAGACGCATGGCGCCAAGAGTGACTTGAACAGTTGGGTAGATGAGTGGTCGAAGTTGAGATTCTTTTCCTGTCTCAGCCTCCTTCAGAGAATTGCAATGCTCAGCTAGAACAGTCGACCAGAAATCAAGCGAATGAACGTATTGCCAATTGTAGACTTGCTTATATGATTCCTTTTGGTTGTTTGTGATGCTGCTTCGCAAATGAATTGCTAGTTGACGAATGAATGTAAAGCCAGTTGTATATCCAACACCTTGATCGATTCCCCACAGTTCAGCGGCGGAGTTCTTCATAAGATTTATTCCCTGAATAGTATGAATGGTGGTATGTCGGCTTCCCTTGAGCAGACCTTGGTATACTGTCTTCATAACGGCTTCCCGTAATCCTGCATCACCAATTATTGCCAGACGTCGAATAACCAAGAAAGCAGTGATTCGGGTTGCTTCTGTGCTCGAGGCATCGGACCAAATGTCTACCACGGTCTTAACGACATTCTTGAGAACCTTTTTGAAGGATAAGAGATATGGAAGGAGTGGTATGACCGAGGAAAGTGTAAGTTTGAGGGTAGAGGCATCGGACAGCGAAGCGAGGAGATGTTGAACAGAAGTAATGTGAGATCGCAAGAGGGGCGACAGCGTCTTGAACTTTTTCGAATCTGTTGATACTCGGACTTTGCCAGCAGCACTCTCCTTGACTGGAAGATGATGATTGAGAACCTCGGGAACTTGCTTCAAGGCAGCAAGCAAGAGCTCGTGATAGACTTCAGGATTCGTTATCGAGTATTTGTATTCCTTTCCATCGTCCTCATTGACGTGCGCAGCTGCTCTAAAAGCTAGAACAACTTGTCGCATGGCCCGTAGAGACTTTTGCTCAGACATTGCTTTGGTCCACTTTGTGACCATTGCTTTAGTGACTTCAGAGGCATCTTCCTCTTCAGCTTCTTCTTCTTGCGCCTCCTCCTCCTCCTCTACCTCGACGACCTCCTCTTTCTTTGCCTTTTTCGACTTCTTTTGTTTCTTCTTTTTTGGTTGTTCATCTTCTTCACCACTTAACTCGTCAACTTCGGCAAAGTCTGCATCGTCCTCGAAATCCAAGGCTTCGGGGTCGTTCTCTTTGAGATATTTATAAAATTCAGGGTCCTTCTCAGCGAGCGCATCCATGGCACTCTTACTCATACCAGTCATTCCTTCGTCGTTGTCATCATCGCCATCTTCACTGTCGCTCATTACTGGCGCCTCTCCAATTGAATCATCGGATGATTCTTCCTCTTCTTCTTTCTCTTCCTCAGGCTCAGTTCTCTTCCTCTTTCCTAACTTCTCTGCTCCCTTCTTTGCTTTTGATTTTCTCTCAAGCTTGGCTGGAACTTCAAAACCACCTTGGAAGAAATCATCGACGCTCATCTTTCCGAATGCATCCTCTTTCGCAGATGGTTTAGGCTTTGAACCTTCCTCCCCGTCCTCTTTTCCTCCCAGGAATTCGGCATCCTTAGCATTTCGAGCCGTTCGCTTTGCTTTCATTTGTTGTCTTTGCTTATACTTTGCGCCATCTTTACGCTTTTCCAATGTATCCTTGAGATGATTTTTCTCGAATTTACGAGTGGCCTTTTTAGTACCTTTCGCCATGGTTGAATTGGAGTTTTTGATAATGAGATTGCAAAATAAATTCTAAGATTTTTTTGAGATGGAAATCTTTACAGCGATAAGCTAGTACCGATATAGAGTATCAAAAGCGGTGAAAGTCTCGTAGCTTTTACCAGGAACCTTCAATTGATCAATTACAACCACAGTAATCTTTATCACAGCAAAGCAGTTGTCCACGATAACTTAAACTCACATCAAAGAGTTTAACGTTAACAATACTATCTTGACGGAAATTCACACACAAAACGTGTCTTATACATTGATTCGGGGTTTTATGGCTACAAAATGTTACTCGTTACACAGCAGACGCGATTGGGACAACCTAAGCTTTCCCCCACCAACAACCTGCGATAGACCCCCCAAAGCTCATCGAAGACATTAATCGAACTCCATAAACAATATGTATCAAAACAGACAGCCGGCGTATGCGCCCACACCTCATAGTTATATACCGAATACAGCATTATCCGCAACTATAAATTTGGATGAGGTAAATATCACTATCCATTTGAAAATGCCCCAGCTCATTCCAAAATTTAGGAAGTGAAGCTCGCCGAGTCTAGAGCAGAGCGCGACCTTCAAGACTCACTTGCAGAAGTCTTCAGTATCATAATCACTTTAGATCAACTCGAAAGAGCCTATCTTAAGGATGCGATCCCAGAATCAGACTACACTGAGACTTGCGACCGATTATTGAAGCAATACAAAGCTATATTAGCAGACGAAAGCGTAGCTAGGGAGTTTGTGGATTTGGAGACCTTCAAGAATGAATGGGATGTGTGTATATTCCGGAACTTCAATTCTCAATACGTGATAACTGAGTGCGACTCTTTACAGATAGATGTCCCAAGAGCCACGGAAAGACTTCGAATAGGATTGCCTAGCACCGTTACTGCACCCTCACATAATGCATCTACTTCAAACAACAACGGTACTAACGGAACGTTAATTCTCGAAGCGACACAAGATTTCATCACATTTTTGGATGCACTTAAGTTGGGATTATTGGCGAAGGATCAACTACATCCGCTACTGTCAGATGTCATACAAAGTGTAAATAAGGTTACGGACAAAGACTTTGAGGGCAGGGGGAAGATCGTTCAGTGGCTCATTGCTTTGAATCAAATGAGGGCAACCGAGGAGGTCAGTGAGGACAAAGCGCGAGAATTGGAGCTGGACATGAATTCGGCATATCAAGGATTTAAGGCGACCTTAGCTTAGAAGTCTGCCAGGTTGTCATAGGAGTCATCGGTGTAAACGCTAACTACCAAGCGATATCTATTTTGCGTACAGGGGCTCGACTGGACGAGGGGCCCCGGGTTCCTCTCATCATATAATTCACAAGTCAACTTGATTTAATCTTAGGGTTAGGAACTATCATATTGAGTTGTGCTCATTTCCAAACCGCTTGGTGGATCTCGTTGATTATTGATAATTTTGGATTGTCGAAGTTGTTCATGAATGCCATTTGATTCCCCTTAATTGTTACACTAGAAATGTCCAGAAACTAGGGTACACAAACTCATCCTCGAAAATGCGTCTGACTTGCTCAAGAACAAACTTTTCTACCTTGCCCACATTCTTGAGTACTTGCTTGCCATTCTCCCTTTGCCCAATCTCGCTCTCGACCTTGATCTCGTGCAGAAGAGCTCCCATTTTCATGCCAGCCGAAGCATCTGCGTCTTTCTCATCTGCACCAATAGCAGCATATGCATCTTCAGGCGATAGGAAACAGAAATGAGCTCTCTTGCGGATGTATGCCAGAACAGCAACCCCGTCAAACGATAGCCCCGTGATGTTCAATTTCACAGGAATGCCCACGAAGCTTGGCATAGGGTAGTCAAGTAAAATATCGACCGTGAGTGAAAGTCGGATATTTCCAGAGTATCGGACTCGGAATACGGTCTGGAGATCTTCCACCTTGGGCTCTCGAAATCTCCGTGGTGGTGATGTTGGCTCTTCACTTTCGCCAACGGGTTCCTCTGGTATCGTTTCTTCGGGGGCGCCGTCTCGAGTGGCTGGTCTGGTTGTTGAAGACGAAGCAGCGAGAGTGGATACACTGGTCTTCTCACGTAGCGATTGCTGGTTCAGATCCGCAATTTGTGGAGGAGTCATGGACCTTTCACTTGCCGCGTGAGATAAAGGCGTGTGAGATTGATTGCGGAGCGCGGATAGATGTAAAGATGGGCTAGGCCGGTCCGGCCATCCTTGAGGTAGATGTGCACCGGCAACCGCGGCTAGTGGGGTTTGAGTACCAGATAATCCACTAGCTAATTGAGAATGGAAATAACTCAAATTTGATGTTCCACCTGGAATACCAGGTGTGCTAACACCTAAAAAGGGACTTCCGGCGTCACCAGAAGCTTGCATTGATCGCAGGCCAGGATATCGTGTGTCAATATATGCAGGAGGGGTCGATACATGTGATGAACCATTTGCCGTTCTCTCTACTCGGTCCATCCTCCTTCTTTCTCGCAAAGACTTGGCGACTTCATTCTCCTCATCAGTTTGAGAATTCTCAGAGTTATCGTCGTCTTCGTCATCTTCTACATAGTCGTCATCGATGTCCTCGTAGAAATCAGGTAATGGATCGCAAATGTCTTTTAGTTCAACCTCTGGAGCAATTGAGCCAAATTCAAATGTGTGTACTTTAACACCCTTGATGAAGCGGGGCAAAGTCACGGTCTGGAACTTAGTATGTACAAAGTCTCGTATCCTTTCTGCGAGGGCAATTCCATCTGGCCCAGTAGTCAATGTCTCCCAATTGAGGTCGATAGACATTTGGCATGAATATTTTCCTCTTCCAATATGATCAATCAATCAATAATGTTGATTATAGTGATGACGCAACTGAACTGATGTTTTTGTCGGCTTCAGATAACAAACATTTCTTTTGCTGATTGGATGGGGAGAAGAGGGTAAAGAGAAGAACTATTGTCACCTTCTATTTGTTGAAGTGGTATTATTTGACATTGTTGTTCATGCCCTACCCGTATTTTGTGTTTTGTAGACGAGGATGATGATTAGTAGGCAATTGACATCTACCGTAGATGGGGAAGTTATTAAAGCAGCAGCTTTTGGTTGCTATAGCGGCACTCCATGGCTACTCACTGATGCTTACTAACTTCGCACTTCCGCACTTCCTCTTTCGATCTTATTGATTATTATGCTTGATCCCTTTCACCTAAGTTATGACATCCGCGGATAATTTTATTATTCGACTACTCCATAAATATCAATATACGAGCTGATTGAAAATAGATCAAGGGGAATCCTGGCCATGATCTACATCACTGAGCACTCGAACTTTCAATAAAAGATAGCTCCATCATTCATCTTGGTTCTTGGTTATTGGTTACAATACAATACTATCTACGTACATCAATTCATTGTCGAAATTCCAAATTCTTGCGGGCACAAAACCTGAAATTAGACTTCCGAGTATTTGAACCACTCCGGGTCGTCTGCCGCAAACCCTTCACAGCAGCAGCTCCCAGCATCCAACTTGTGATGTTAACTGGATGACGTTGCCTGAAACGCAAGACAATAAACTATCACATAAGGGTTTCAGAATGACATCTATCGAAGGACATTTGGTTTGGTATCAATTTTCACCAGAACGTATGGAGTAATATACCTGCATTAGTTTGTATGCAGTTATCTTCAGCTTCTCTGTCGTGTGATTTATTTGGCGCGCCAGTCTGCGTCTAATTAGCCGGCGCTTTTTTTTCCTTGTAAAAGTTTTTGACGGAATAAGCGGGCATACCTTGAGCTCACCTTTAGCAAGGATAACCTTACCCTGCACAATTCATCACATAACAACATTACATGTAAAAATTTCGGCTGATGCCCCTGGGCCTTGAAGGCTAGGCATCGAGGAGGCCCTCTGCTTATTTCGCATTTTCGACTCATCATGGTCTATCTGTCTCGAGAAGGTCATTTCCAAATGCCACGATGTTGCATGTAGGAAGATGGGTACTTTCCTTAATTTGCATGTAACACCTCATTTTCTCATTACATTATCGCTCGTAAGTGTGTGCCGCTTTCCTGCTCCCGATGGTATCACAGCTCCACAACTTGACTGCTAGCTGAGTTCTGGCCATCATTTCTACAGGTTTGAGTGGTGCGGAATCTCTACTCAAAAGAATTCTCCTTTACCAATCCACTCTATTTTAGGCGGTAGACGCGCTATGACATACTCATCTTCACTTGCTACTCTGTGAAAGGAAGGACACGACCAAGAACTGCCAATATCTCTAGGTCCATTGATAGCGACATCGCAGATGTGGTTGCTCTCCGCAATGTCAGCACTAAAAAGGGAAATATCCGGTCCAAGAGAAAACTAGGATTAGGCCTCCACTGGCAATTGCCTGAGTTCTGACCAGCCTTATCACATGATTGAATATAGCTGCATGTAAAATGCAAGGATTTGCATCCCTGGACCTGGAATTTCAACCACGCTTCTTCCCCTTTCTTATCGATCGGTGTTAGCCCATGTCACATTCGTTGCCCGTTGCTTGCGGGATATTAGCCGCAATACGACTGATAAGACTATCGGTCAGTCGAAGACGGTGGGTGTCGCGCTCTCTCAGGGGGCCTGTAGTTACACAAAGAAAGCCGCACGGCAAATTGTTCAACCTCACTCAAGTAATACTCCATAGCTAGCGTACAAAATCTTTCTTGCCACATATTTGATTGGCAGAATTTCGGAAGGAAAGAGATTGAACATGAGGACGCACTCTGGTGGAGAGGCAGTGTAACAATTGAATTGTTCAAGACTATATTGGCTGATTTATTTGGTAAAACTGACCTCACTTGTGCACTCTTCACATGTTGCTACATTCAATATGATGTAAAGAAAGACGATTGATATTAAGAAAAAAAAGTGTCGACTAAAAATCTACCACAGCAGAACGAAAACCCCCCAAAAGTAACAACACAATGAGATATTGTCCCATGAACTCCCAAGTATGCTTGTAGGATTACAGCAGCGATTCATGACCAATCTTTGCACCTTAGATTTCTGACCCTGTTCTAAATTCGCCTCTAGCTCCAAACCCCTTCATCTGCACGGATGCCCACAAAATATCCAGCTCCACTCGACTAGTCCCGTCGGAGACGATTGGAGAATTCCGAGGTGCCGCCTTCGAATATGGTTTAAAGGTTCGAGGAGGCATATTCTCTGATCCTAAATCAGTAGATGACTAAGCAGGAATGTTGGAGTCGCACTTACTTACGAGGGACAGCCACTTGTACATGGTTCTCCAGCATTGGATGTCTCAATTTTTGGTCCACTTGGGCAACTTCCACTCGCTTTGCAAGCAGCACATTTGACAATCTTGGTGTCGAAGTGTCTGTTGCAGCTTTTGTAGACGACGTAGTGAGTGCACATTTTGGCGGTTATTGTTCGGGAAAGTATCGTGAGCTTGTAATTGAAACTTTGAATTGACCTATTAAGACGCACCGGAATTAGCATTGGATATCAATGGCAAGGATAAGTGCTAGAAACTCTTTATCCTCAGAGAAAAGTGAAGCACAAGTAAAGTCTGGTACTTACTTGGACAATGGCGAACGTGCGTGAGATGATGTATTTGCTGAGGAACTTTTTATATGAGGAAAGCTGGCAGATAAATATATTGTAGATGATAGACTATTTGTGTGGTGGTGAACTTAGAAGTGATGATGGAGCTGTTGAACCTCTAAAATCATGGGCGACGGCAGCTTGCTTTATACACCGTCGTACCATTCCGAGTGAACGGTACTGCCTGTCATTCAATTTGGAAAATGTTGTTTGCTTTGCCATCCATCGCAGGATGTCTACACGAAGTCAGTCTGAGAGGGGGGGGTAGATGCCTGCCGACGAGCTGGTGTGCCTTCTTGTTGGTAGTTCTTTTCGTAAGAGGTTTAATGTAGTTGGAATTGGCAGATCGAGCTGTAGCCATAGAGGTATCATACCAGGCTTTCCGTGAATACCAACAAGAAAATAGCCGTCATCCGCCGCGCAAACGGTTGGCTAGAGGATTAAGGAACACTGCGAGAGTAGTGGTAGGGCGGGCAGGTATCAATTCCATCGCTGACATGGTATCGGTAGGGCGCCATAACTAAAAGCGCAAGCTCACATGGCCAATCCTAGATTGCAGGTACGGCGAAAGGAGGATCGATGCAGTTGCGGACAAGTCAAGCGTTCTGATGATTGAAAATTACAAAATGGATGATCCACCCGAGGCAGCAAGGACCTGCAAGGTTTGCAAAAGTTACAAGGACCAAATAATGGGACCTGCAACTAAACAACCCTTAACCATCTTCAGTAGCAAATGTAGATCTAGAGACTAGATTGATTAGAGGCTGGAAAGTAAAGGCTAGAGGCTAGAAACTAGAGTAGAGACCAGAGACCAAGGGGAAAAGAAATATGATTGCTCTACCTATTTTGAGCCAAGTACGGTACATTACAGTGGTTACACAATACACAAGCTTGATTTTAGTAGACCGATTTTAGATCATGGCTGAATGAACATGCGCGTGGAGATAGATAACTGGAAGAAAGAATGTATCTAGTGAGCTAAATCATGCCATTGCATAATACTATTAAAATCCTGTAAAGAAAATGAGATAAGTTGGGGGTTTTACGAAATTGGGGGTTTGGAGTTGACAGGAGATCAATCACATCAGTCAGTGCTCTCGCTAGGGTTAGGTGGTGTCGTCTAACGGGGATTTGACGTTTTTCCCCCTTCATTTTCGACTAAAATTCACCAGTTTTGTTCTTTTAAACACTAGTATGGAGTATATCTATCTAGCACTTAATAAAAGTGTTTCGAGTATGATCACACCAAATAACACCAGACCAAACTATAGACCAGGTCAAATCGCAAACTACAAGTCAGAGTGATTATCCGCCAAAAGAGGGAAAAAAAAGACCAAAGCCACCGTAAGAGTGCCATTTCCTACATGGGGTCGCAACATTGGTCGAATTAAATATCGAGAATTCGAAAGTTCTCTTAGTCTGTGTACAACTCTGCTCCAATAAACGGCTTAGATCCGATTAGAGACTGCGGCTCACAACATACACTACGATGCTAATGGCAGGCTTAGGCTTTTTACCACCGTAGTACCTCACGTAGTACCTATAGATCTCTCGGTTTTAGACGCTTTGAACCCTTTAGATGAATCATATTCAACGGGGGTGCCATGTGGATGTGTCAAGCGGACATTGTGAAAGAGGCTTCTCTCTACCTTTGAGATTGTATCAACCCAATTTTTTGTTCCAAAATAGAAAGATATCACGCCCCAAGAGCATTTAGTTCATGAGTTTCTATTAATCCAGAAAACGGCACAGCAAAACTTTCACACATTACTCAAGTACGTAAGGCTTCTCGAAGCTTTTTCTCGCTTTTTGCGACAACGGGAATCGACAAAGGGATCATCTTGCTGTAGGGCTGGGTTAACAAATTGCATCAGACGTATTCAACCAACGAAGCTAAACAAAGGTGCTGGGTGATAAGTCCAACCTCTAAACCTAGAGAAAACTTAATTGCGGGAGCGCCTCGGATCTTGTTTCTCTTATGGTCCACATTCAACTGGCGGCCCTGTTTGCTGACGGACTTTGGGGATTTCGGCAGATCCAAAAAGAATTCAGAATCTACAACCAATCCAACAATTCAAACCAAAAAAAAATCATATAGTAATCTTAACCGGTATCCTCTTTTTCTCTCACACATCTCTTACAATTTAATATTCTACCCAACAGCCGCAATTATACATATTTTCCATTCCTCTTTAGCTCGCATCGCTAGGGCCAGTCCAACGTTCACCAACGTTAAGTTGCCGCGATCTTGGTTACAATTGGCCCCTCGAGGACTGATCACCAACATATTCATCAGCTCGCCGTTCGTACTCATTCAATTAGTACAACTCTGCCCTACGGCTGAATCATTTCGCATCGGCAGGTGGCCGGACTTTTACATGCGTGATTGATTGTATTCTACGATTGTTGGCAGAAACGCCACTATGTCATGCACTTTCGCGGCAACGTCTCTACTTTCTCCTTTTCCATCGCTCATCTAAAAGTTTATCCCTGAAAATGGTCACAGTACGGCACTTGTAGCTGTCGAAGGAAGGTTTTGCGATTGGATTGGGCAATCTTCTGGACGGCCTGCTCCGGGGGCACCAGGCACATGTCGCCAGCAGGACTCGAGTTTTCTGCAGCTAAAAGACGATGAATGGATGAATGACGATGGTTTGAAGTATTGATTATTTCTATCATTGATGTTTCAAAAAGTTCACCGCACCTAGGAAGGATCTCGACTTTCTCGAAGATGGCTATTGTGTAACGATCATATGTAGGTACGGGCCATCAAATTACGGGCCAAGATTCGGTCAATGCAAGCAAACCTACCTACAGGAACAGGAATGTATATTCAATATTCTGAAGCAGGTCATATTGCAGTCTTCAGTCGGTATCGGCCCGCGCATCGGCCTCCCGACCTGCACTAAGGCATTTCCTGACTCCACAATGGGGGATGTAAAGGATTCCAACGGCTTCAAACTTAATATGTGTGGTTCATCACAGCACTTTAGCCTCTCGCGATACTCTGTCAAGTCACAAGGGGCCACAAGACCATTCGTTCTGCAGGGTTCCGACGTCATGTTATTTTGACGACGGATACCCACAGCCGTGTCCGCTGTCAAATACGGGAGATGATTGACTAATTCTGCGAAAGGAGACATACAGGATCTTGACTCGATCGAGCCTTTCGAGTTCCAATTTTTGAAATTCCCCTTGGCTTGCTACCCACGGGTTGCCTGGTTGAAATTACATTAGCTATAGGGTGATGACCTGATCAACCAGTGTCCATCTTCGATAAGCAATGTGATAGACACCGGATAATTTCGAAATTTTAGGAACTCATGTGTGACGTCCGTTTGTTAGCGGCACAGCGAATTGGAGGCGATTAATAGACGCCGGTGGAATGATTTTTGATACATCGTCTGAGAAAAACAAAGGTAATGAGTGTGAATTGAAGAAAGGGAGTGACTGTTCAACATCCTTGTACTTTCCTCGCAAGCAAGACCGCGTCAAGTGATGGTAGCACAAGAAGCTGCAGAGCAAGGGGTTTCTTTCAATATGAAGCCATTTCTTAGAGACGGACACCGGGGGAGGCTTTCTTCCGTATCGCAATGCCTAACTAATTATGAACTATCCTAGATGGGGCTACTCAAGACATTCAGAACACTTCCGGAGCCGAAGAGAGGAGAATTGACAACGTGAAATGGCAATACTGATCGATAGATATTGTTAGTAGACACTAGACACTAGATACTAGACAAAACACTAGAGGAGTAGACACTGTACTTTAACCAGGTTCCCTTGTCTAACAGACCCTAGGCTAAATACGATTCGATTTAAAATGTCCCACATACCTCCGAACTCCGAAAAACAACCACAGAAGAGTAGACAACGCACCTACCACTACCACTACCACTACCATTACGACTTACTACCTACTACCTACTACACATCATGAAATGAAAGTCCTGTGAATACCACATAGACAAAGACGAAGACGAAGACGAAGACGAAGACAAAGACAAAGACAAAGACAAAGACAAAGACAAAGACAAAGACAAAGACAAAGACAAAGACAAAGACAAAGACAAAGACAAAGACAAAGACAAAGACAAAGACAAAGACAAAGACAAAAGACAAAAGCATGTGCAATCATCTTTCTAGCATGATTTGATGGTATTATCAAGAACACGCACAAAGGCTTAGATCGGCAAAATCTCTATAAATACCACTTGCATCCACATTCTTCTCTGATTTGCTCCATAGGAACCGTGATCCCTTTTGGACCTGATGAGAATTCGGAATCGGATTGTATATTCATTGGGAAAGAAAATAAAAATGATTTCATTCCTGTTCAAAAATCTTCCTGAAATCCACCAATGAAGATGCTTTCAGAATGAGATATGCTCATAGCTACATGTCGCGTAACACCAGTGCATGCATCCGAAGTCCACCGGGTTCACCATAACTCTCATTTACGCTCTGCCCTGCAATCACGGAGATAAAATAAACTTGAAGAAAGATACTATAGCGGAGCTTCACCATCTAGAACATTCACAATCCAATCACAATCACATTCTGGGCGTGGTGCATAGTCAGACGGATCATAGTCATCGTCAAGAGGAGGCGGGAGGGAACGCAGGGGAAATCTTGCTATCAAACATTACTCCACTGGTACTTTTCCGAGAATTGGTTTGTCCCAAAAAAGTGAACACTACTGCTGATGGACCATACGTCCCATTGAAGCATGCATGTATGCCCTCTAACTGTATGGCAAAACCGCAATGCATTTGGCTCTCTCGGCCGTTTCATCATTAATAGAAGGTAATCCGCTCTTGCATAAGTGAGTCTTGCAACACATCGAATCAGCACACCATCACAATTCTCGAGGCCCAAATCGAGGCCCGTCTGCCTTCGGTCTATGGTCAGCTTAACATCACGTGACTAAATTTATTCCAAGTCCATGGTTCAATGAGCCTTGGTGCTCGTTCATCTTCATGAACCATATGCCGACGTCTCGTAATGGAGGCTGAGCCCATAATAGAGAATAAGAGGGCCTTGTTGGTTTTTTGTTGGTGCTGCGTGTTTTCGCCAGAGGAAGGAGAGAAGATCTTCTGGCACTCTGGATGATGACGCCTGGCAACAAGTCGGCTTGAGATATTGCTTTAGGCAAATTTCTACTCGCATCCTTCCTTTTCTTGCGTTTTACAAGACTTCCAATTAGTGTTCGTCAACCGGCACACTCGTTCATAGTTGGTTTTCGTGTTGGCAGTCTGCGAGTCACACCTCACTTTCCCATGAACAATTGTGCATGCTCTTTGAAGATAGGAGAATGCTCGCCTCTTTCACGTCACAGCCTCAGCGTTAAGCCATCTACAGTATTGTACGAGCGGCGTGTGATATTGGCATGTTTTTGGAGACTACTGAGCGCTTTGCTCGCGATTATTGCCTCTCAATTTTTCCTAGCTTCATGACAAGTCTTTATTTACCCCCTCTTCATTCCACTCATCAGCTAACTCTCTTCCTTTCTTCTCGCATCATGATAATTGTGGATTGGCTGGTGTAGAGATCAGGCACATAGATTGTTCAGTGGCTTGATGTGCTAGAAGGAAATCATCGGTGGATGTCCTCTTCCAGCTGCTCGTTTTGATTACTATTCCCGTCCACCATGATATCTATCAGGAGAGCATGTCACTGGACTGTACCCAATGAAGTACACGTCCACTTTGCACCTCATGCATACCTAGGTAGTTATTGAAAGGTGCGAATCTACAAGCACAAATGGTTTAACCTCGGCATTCATTAAGGTTAACCTATCTCAAGCTCGGATACCCCTGATGCGACTTTTGCTCATGTCCCCTCTTTCTGCCATTCCGATCTTCATTCTTGACGGCGGGGTTTTATCCAATCAACAGAATGTTAATCAGCCTTCAGTCGCAAACTGAATGGAAAGAGGGCTTGGAAGAGCCTATTATTTGTTTTCGTAACTTTACAACATGCATTTCCCCATTAGGAAATCAGCTTCGTCGTCGTCGTAGCTATACTTTCAACATACATCTTCATGTATCTGCATGAATAATGATGTTTTCAATCTGCTTCAAAAAGACAAAGTTTGATTTGCAATCATGCTTCTTACTTTTGATTGCCCAATTACCACGTTATTCATCAGCCCACCAATCTTTCTTCCACGTGCGTTAATCCTGCATGATTCGGCGTTCAAGTCGCTCCAACCGCGGTAGAAGGCTCAGTAGTTGGTGGAAATCACACCATAAAAGAACGGTGACAATTTTTTATTCTTTTCCAGAAATTCTTCTCTTCTTACTTTCAAATCAAAACCTCTTCAGTTTCCCCTAAAAAGTTCATCCCATCTCATCCGCACCAAAGCCAAAAAATCCCATCCACCTCCTTCCTTAGACCTCTTCTGCGACCCCATCTCGCTCGTACAACATCCTTCCCGTCACACGTTTCAAACAACCTCTCCCGCAATCCTTCCCCCAAATTACCTCAACAATTTTCCGGGACGCAGAAAAGTAAAATAGCATACCTAGCCAAGCATCTAGGAACACTCTCGTATTCAATTTATTTAAACTTATTCAGTCACATTACCAAATCCGCACCCAGAAAATGTCCTCCCAAATCCCAGCCAATGCAGGAGCATCCATGCCTGCTTCCGAAATCCAGGCTCTCGCCATGAGCGGACAGGAAAACTTTATTCCCGCTGCTGAAGAGGCAAGTCAGGATTCGCATTCTTTTCTGTATCTGGCTCCGAAGACTTCGGCTGGTTATCCCGTGGCTCAGTCGGCCAAAATGTCTGCTGCTTTGACGCCGCGTCAGCTGGGAAATCAGACGCGTGTTACAGTTGGGGGTGAGAAACTCGGGGAGAAAGGAGTTGGTGATGAGGATGGTCGTGCCAAGAATTCGGGCAGCATCGAGCAGGAATTGGGAAAGCCGTCGAGGAGTGAGAGCATGAGTAGTCAGGCGAGCAATAGCACGGTTGCTAGTGTGGATGGATCAAAGGGGATGAGTTCAAGGCGATTCTTGAAGTTGGGACCGGTTCATTTTGGCGAGGCAGGTTTGGGCGATTGGAGTGAGGAGGTGGTGGAGTAGATGGCGTTCTACGATTGTGGATGATGTGAATGGGATCATGAGTTACGGTTATTGCGGCAATTTTGTGTCACACACTTGATGTGATGGTATTGCGAAGGTGCAGGTGAGCTTAGGATATTGGGAAATGGAGTATGAGATATGAGATATGAGATATGTGGCTTTTGGTCAGCGATTTCGGGGTTTGAGAATACATGGGTTGATAATTGAGGGAGGGTTGATTAACCGCGCGGTGGGATGGAAATTTGCACGCACAAGGGGCTTGTTGGCAAGTATCGTTCTCGTCCCAAAGGAGTATTGTTCATGAGTCATGAATCACGAAATCTTTCATGCATTTCACATTTTGCGTTTTCTCGCTTTCTTTCCTATTTGGCTTGTTACCTACGTAGTTTGTTTCATCATTCTTGGGAAAGAAAATCAGGATCGCAAGGTAGTAACGAATGGCCACATGGGAATTTTAGAAATCAATTCAAAGTTCAATGGTACATTGATAATATTTGGGCCTCGACCCCAGAATCCTAAACCTGAGTTCTGACAAGTTTGACAAATCCCGTTACACGGAAATAGAATGCATTCAAGACGCAGCATTCTACTATACTATGCTATTCTTGCTCACGAGGTAAAACGAGGTAAACGATCTATCTTACCTTGGCAACATTTTCATTTCGTTTCCAGAGCTCACATCAGCATCAGCATCAGCATCGCTTCACTGCCACAGATCCATGGCCATCTACCGCGGTAAATCAATCTTACCTCGCGTCACACGAACACCCATACCATGTGTTGGTATCTTCGTACTCTTGCAACCATTCATCGATTAGTATTTCTTCTTCCACACACGATTTCGTATTGTTACTCATGAATGGTTATCATATTTCCCGTGACTTCATAATTGCGCCTTGATTTTTCTGTGAAAGATTGATTCTCACAAGAGATGGGATGAGATTGGTATAGAAGAAATATCACATCAGATTCTCGTAAAATTGAACTTTCTACGATGATTGATATGTGTAGAAGATTAGGGAAACATTGATATTGCACGAGAGAGTTTGAGGGGAAGTTTTTCTTATTCTTTATTGTCATTTATTTGTCTTGTTGTTCGTTAATTGTTTTGGAATACTTGATTGGGAAGATGATCTTGGGTCCACGAACTGGAAATTGGAATGGGTGAGAGGATTGGATTGGGGGGTCGTAGATTTCTCAATGTTGTGAGATGACAAGGTAGGTTGCTAGATCGACATGATGAGGATATTGTCATGGTCAAGATTCATGATCTGGGTGGAATATTTACGATATGACATGGTAGAATATCTTGGTTTGAAAGACGAGATATAGATATATGTGAGGTCCATGAATTCTTCTCGCTGGGCCATCGTGAGTTGAAGGGGCGATGGAGATTATAGCTAGGGTTACGGGAGTGAGGTGGAATGGAATAAAATATAGAGGATTTTGTATTGAGAATTCACATTATGTTGGTCTGATCCAATCTAGATTTTATCAAAATGTGCAATGACAAACGGAAAAGGAGGAGGAAAGGAGGAAATCAGATAGATTTGGAAAGAGAGAACTTTGTTAGACGTGGAGAGATCAGCGAGGTTATCATTCCTTCATCATCATATCTTTGCATCCTCTCATATACTATTTCCGAAGTTGAAGAATCTCCCCATCGATTACCTCTTCATTCTTCTCCTAACATCAAGTAATCAAGTATAGTATCACTCACCAACTCAGCCCTGACTGAGCACTTACATAAAAGTCTTTGAACAGTATACTTCCCCTCCTCTCCTTCCACAAACCTCCCATCCAACCCCACATAATACATATCCAGTAACACAGAAACACAAAACACAACAGTAGCTTCACCACACATACCCACCACGCATATACACCACACTAGCCTACAAATCGGCTACCGATGTGCATGCATATTGCATATTGCATATTGCATACTGCAGAGATACCTACCTACCTACCTATGCAAATGTATGTTCCCGAGGAAAGTGGAGTGACGGACGGAGGCCATGTGCGGGAGGGAAGTAGGTCGATGTAGTGACGAGGTGCTCACGCAGCCTTGTTTTGTGTGGTTTGGTTTGCGGATAGATGGGCATGTCGACTGTGAGTGAATGGGTTGTTGATTTCGGAGATGTAGTGAGGATGAAGACTGTGATGATAATTTGAAGGAAAGAAGATGTAATGTGATCTTGTGCTACGGCGTCCGCAGAGGCTAGGGAATTTCGAATTGATAACTCGCGATGATATACTGAGTTCAACGAATCTGGGATAAAGATGTACATGACTATTTGTCGGTTATTCAATGAGATTTGAGAACTCACTACATCTGTCTGTCGTCTTTCATCCGACTTGGAAATTCTACGTAGACTGGGGGAAGGACTGCATATTTTACAGTCGAAAGCCTCATGAGCTCCGTATAAAGTGTGCCGCTGGAGTATATATATATATATATCTATACCACGTGTTCTTCTTTCAAATCATCATCTTTCAGGGAACTTCACAAGGACTCATACCCTCTTATCTTAACGGCCAATCTGACCTCCGAAAACATGAGTTATGCACATGAAGGAGTAGTAATATGTATCTTCTGGACAGCGATTGAATCACGACTTGTTGTCCTAATTCTCGCATCTGGATTTCAATTTTCAAGAACATAAGGCAGCACACAGGATCCTCTTCAATTTGCCGTACCTGGATTGCTTTCAATCTATCCATACAATTACTGGACTACCAGCAGCCGCTCAAAAAGGATTACCTAATGAATGTGAGATGGACAACAAATTCCTCATAACTACTTTGAAAAAACGTACTTGGAAAAGAACGGTGGCCAGATCTTTGCCTTTTTCTCTATACGACAGAGAAAAAGAACACGTTCAGTTAAGATATCTCCAAGGCACAATATCTTCTCCAATATCCAAGCACCTACGGAATAATATGGCGCGAATACTATGTCCAATAGCTTGGGGCATAGTTCAGTTTGTTTAAGTATTGAAGGCTTTTGAGACACCGAAAAATTCTTCAGAATATTAATGTTGACTACATCTCCCGGTCATCACAGATGCTTTCACCCTTATCATGAATGAGGGTGGAACTGACTGGCCTCTCACAAAAAACCTCATTGATTCAAAAGCTCGGGTATTCAGAGAACTTTTGAATGCCAAAGACCTAGACATTGAGGCTAGAGATTATTAATATTATACTAGTTCATCAACAACTCCAAGCTCCAACTTTTTAGAACCAAACACCATGGAAATTATATCCCATTTTCATTATTTTACCATCCATACCCCACGACTGTTTCCGTAATCATAAACACTTGGGGTCTATTCTGAATATTAGATTCTTGATCCAGCTGGCTGTCTAGTCTCATCTTTGAAACTATCATCATTATCTTAACTTGTTTCATCGCGATAATGCATCGATGGATCCTCTGCTCTTGATGGTGGAACGTCCCTATATTGGCCATCGGCTGTTAACTCCTGGGATCTCAACATGATTGCTCGATCTTTCTTCTTCCCTAATCCCATTCTCTGTCTTCTCGAACCAGTTCCGTATCCCTTGTGTCGACCCATCACACTACCCATCCCAATGGTGCGATGCTTTCGATTGCAATACCATGTTCCACCAATGACTAGGACAATAAACGCGAGGACTGTTGGAAGGGCAATGTAGAGAGAAGCACCATGTGGAGCTTTGCTTGGAGATTGACGATATGGTTCAGGCGCGGGAGAAGTAGTCACCATGAGTGTTGGTCCTTGTGCGGAAATGATATCCGTTTTCTGGGTGGGTGTGACGAATAAAGTTACGTTGTTGAACTTCATGCCCTTTAACCAGCTCTTATCTATTGTCCAAGCAATGAAACCAAGATTGTGAATTGTGGGCGCTGATTGAAAAGCCTGTACTCCTCCGCCTGAAGCATTCACATAGTTTGCCTGTATTAAAACCGAAATGTTCGACCCAGCGAAGTACCGAGCATCCCAAGTAACTGTCTCATGTCAGCAATTACCCTATACAACAAGATAGAAATGCTAACCATAATATGTCTCGTCGACATATACACTGGATCCATTATCTGGCTTACAAAACGGTGCAAATTTTCCTTTGAGGTTGTGGCAGATCTCAAACGCTCCGCCACCTGTCGATGTAGGCACCGCTTCACTAGATGTAGATGTTGATGTTGCCTCAGAGATAGAGGAAGCACTGGTAGCAGTCAATTGTGCCGGAGCAGCATCACTTGTAGTGACTTTACCATTGATCGTCGTAAGGATGGGAGTGACTGTTGACCCATGCCCACTGGCATCGACGGTGACTAATGGATTTAATCCTTCATCTGTAATTGAGATTGTATTTTCTGATGCTGGAGTTGCTTTGTTTGTCGCAGTGGCATCTGTTAAGGTAGAAGTAGGAGATCCACTTGAGGAATCATCGCTGGAGTTGACTGTATCAGATTCTGTAGAAGAATAAGTCAATAAATGATTCTTGAATAGAAGTTAGTTAGTAGTTACTTGCCTGCTCTATGAGTTGGGGAGGCTTCTATAATTCCATATAGAAGGCCCATTACTATCGCGAGAAGTGACACTCGCATTATGCCTTTTTCCTACCTAGGTATTATTCAATCACGACTACACCTTCACCGACTTGATGTTAAACCAAACTGATTGACCTTAGAGGGTTCGGAATAACGAGGAATCAAGGAATCAAGAAACGAAGTAATTCTTATGGAAACATTGTAATTGATAGATTTCAACGAGCATATTGAAATGGATAGCTGAGGGAAGGGATTCAAAGCACGGACAAGATCAAGCTTGCCTGTGCACATTTACGTTCCTGACTAATTGACATGGGCTTTCTTATTGATGATATCTCATTGGCTGTCTTTTGAATTTTATACTTTCGGGTGTAACCGAATTCTGGGGATAGTGTCAGTGACATCAAATGATCGCTGTCGCCGTCTATTCTCCACTCCATCAGTGACCATTTGGTGCACATCAACACATACAAGTTTTTCAACAATCTGTCTGTACTTTATTAAAATTCGGTCATTTTGCTCTTGAGCACTTGAACCGATAATCACACCTGTAGTTCTGCGCTCCAGAATCAAAACTGACATACGGCTCTTTGAACCTAACCTTCAACTTTTATATAATTGGCATTTTGTAGGATAGTCTTTGTTGTCTTTGGATAGCTGTGATCAAGTAATCCTTCGGTTATTCCAGGGGCTGGCTCAACAGGAACCACAAAGAACTTGGCTTGAAGTATTCATTTACATTATGCTCTCGAACCAAAACATGCGCAAAGTCATTTCAACTCATACCATATAGGAATGACTTTTGCTCTTTCTCACAAAATTGCTGCATGCATTCTTCATGATGTTTGTGTCAGCGTGTTTGCAAACCGAAGACATTAATAAGGCCCACTGGGTGATATGTTTGGGAGTACATATAATGCTGCCAGAGAAAGATATTCTCTTACAAATAGAAACATTGATTCGTGTAGTCTGTACCAAGGACCTACAAGGCTTTTATGGGAAATCATAGCTTCATTCTTAAAGAATTTAGCAGCAGTTCACTTCCAATTCTATTTGGCATATGATTGGTAGACTGTGTATCGTTTCTCATTACTCTCAGGTTAAACGGATGATGCAAATTTCTCACCTTCTCATGAATTGCTATCTTCTGGGGTTTCATGGGTCTTTTGAGCATAGATTTCTTCAAAACTAACGAAATTAATGATTAGAGAGAATCGCATGTTTTTGGATGATTTATAAGAGTATTTGAGTACTTTGTGGCACTTATTTAAGCCTTTTCAATTCCGCTGCCAGGTTCTTTTTGAAACAAAGATAAAGGGAAAAACATGTGTTTCAATGCAAAGGTAGTTTAGAATAAGAGGATACATGCGGCCTTGGAATATTAAAGTAATAAAAAGATGCATATTATGCTGCTAGATGTCAAACTCCATCTATCAGGTAGCAATTTGCTATATCCTTCGCCTGATTTTCTCAAGTATATCAAGTCCCAGTAAAATTTCAATATAATAGAGCACACAACAATTCAATCAATTGAAATATAAATTCACCTCAACTTCGGTTGGCTCAGCCTTAAAAATTCTTGCATCCTCCTTCCTTTTCTCTTTTTGTCTCCACAAACTTTCACACAACCACCATCGCATACCATAATCATGGCTATAGAACAACCCCCTCTTATTGTTGACCCTGATAGGATTGATGATCTACCCAAACCTTCCCCCTACACTCTTGCTGAGGCTTCCATCCCTGATCGTATCGAGTGTATCGTAAGTATTGATTCCGCCTCTATGATGGGTTATAGATTGAGTGTTGATTGAATTGAACTGACATTCTTGTTCTCAGGTTCCAATATCTGTCCGCCCCTCTCTCATCGATCCTAAAAACAAAGGTCTTTATGTTGATAAGGCTGTATCTCCTGGAGACATCTTGTTTACAATTAAAAAGCCTTTGTTCGCTATTGTAGGTGTTTCCATGTCACTCTTTCCTCCCTTCCTTGTTCATCACCTTCTTTAAATCTATATGCTCCCAATTTTCTTGTTCATAGATTTCAGAAATCTTGAATGTTGTTTCTTTTCCTCAAACCCTTAAATTCACGCCGCACATCTATTGCAGCTCTAAAAGGAGCACTTACAGTTCCTATCATAAAAAAACTCAATTGAGGCTTTATTTTCCATTACTCAGCAATATATGAGTCTAGATACATTCCTAATACTTCATCCACCTCAGAGCAGTCCATCAAACTTGAATGCTTCAAAAATATACTAACCTTTTAATAATCATAGGTCGAACACGAGAACACGAGATTAAGAACCTGCGAAAACTGCTTTGCATACCAGAGCGTGGAGGATGAAATAGGAACTGTCAGTACTGTAGAGAGAGGTATCGAGACAGCTATCCCATTCGACCAGTGTGGAAGCTGTGGGGTATACCACTACTGTGACACGGTAAGGTTAATACTTGTCGTTATTTTCAATCTGTTGAATCTGGGTTGAAATGCTAAGTCAAAACAGAAATGCCAGAGGGAAGCATTTGAACACCATCATAAGCATGAATGTCTTGCTTTCGTAGAATTTTTATCCGAAGAGCCCTTAGCAGAGAGGTTCATTGAGCGTACGGATTTTCGCTTTGTTCTCCGTTTCCTGTCCATGGCCAAGGCAAATCTTCTGACAGAAGCAATAATGAGGGAATTCTTCACAGCACCGATAGGGAATTTGTATGACTTCGAGCCTTCTATGGAGACCTCCTACAGAAATTTGAGTCTCAATTTGAAACTTCTCGCAAAGTCGCCTGTGCACGAAGATTCAGTCTTACATCTTCTCTGCTTTGTAAGTTGACAAGTTCGGAGATTTAATTTTGCACAGTATTAGAAGGCTAATTACTTTATCAGGCTGTTCATCAATCTATTCCGATGTACCAACCATTCATATGCGAATTCAATAGGCATGATATAAGTTATTGGAATACAAGTTCTCCAACAAGAATTGCTTGTGGTGGTAAGTAAAGCTCATTCTATTGTTGTTAAAATAAAGAAATAATAACAAATATGTTTCTAGCCTGCTACGAGCCGTTCATCACAATCATGAGAAACGATTGCAATGCCAACACTCGCGAGTACTTTGACGGAATGTCATACATTATACAAGCTAATCGTGCGATCCCTGCCAACACTGAGATTACCCGCCGTTTCAGTTCTTGGAATGACTACGAAGCCCGCCGTCTTGAATTCATGATGAAAGAAAAACTTGATTGCAAGTGTAATTTATGTATTCGAGGAAATCTAGGACCAACAGGTGACCTTCGAGAGCGCATGCTTGCAGTTTCCATTTGCAATTACAAGCCTGGACTCGACAAGGAGTTGCTGAAAGAACAACTAGCCATTGATCACAAAGTTATTGCTGATCTGAGATCCAATGGATTCGGCTACGATTGCCCTGATCTAAGAAGAGTGTATATGAGTGTATTCAGCGGTCAATTTGATCGAGACTGCCGAACTAGAACTCAAGATTATAAAGGGTCCTTGAAACTTCTTCTCGCCGTCTACTACTTGATCGACCCAGTGGCATGCCCGGCACCATCACCGGAAGAACGCATCAAAGTTCTGCATTTCCTCGTTGTTATCGCCTACAGTCGAAAAGACCCACGATTCAAGGTCAGCGAGATCGTCCTCAAAATGCGCAAATTCATCTATCATTGGCGTTCGCAGCTCGTTCACTACTCCAGGCAAATGGGTGGCCCCAATACCAGGATTGCTACATTCCATCGAAATGCATTCAAGGAAGACCTAGAGGCTAGTGATATACCTGTTTACACGGATAAAGATTCTCTCGTGAAGGAATTGAATAGTTGGTTCAAGTTGCTTGGTTTTGCTGAGATGACATCAGAGCAGATTCTTCGTACCTAGATGGACCAAATAATGTGTAGGGAGGGCACTTCGTGGTTGAAATGACTTTGACATGTATTGCATTGACAGAAATTGTGATTTCTCCCACATAGGACTATGGAGGAATCATGGAGGAGAAACCGTAGGGGGCTACTCACAGGGGATGCCAATAGTATTCAATATGGGAGGAAACAGATTGCAAGACCGAATTCAATGCGGAGGTAAAATGCACACGAGATACAGTATAACGTAGTTAGATGAATCACAGAGCTTTCCTCTGAGCCATAAGTCCCAGTGCTATGTAGCCGACGGTAGAACCCTATACAACATAGGATATTGTTGTGATAAACAGTCGTCATGATAGTAGATTGGCTGGCTATGTACATCGATCTCGCACTCGATGAGTAAAATTGTCCTTAAAGACGTCGCTTCTCAGCCCAACTTCAATATCTCAATCATTGAGAATTCGAAACGAACATTATCAGGAAAACTCGTTTAGATACCCAATTTAACACGCCCGAGGTCGTCTTAACGATTCCATTATGGCCACAAGCGATACCTAGAACAAGAGCACATATGCCATTGATAGATTGAAACGGTTTTCCCACCATGCTGATGGCAAAACCTGGATGCACTTCACATTTTCCCTAGTCTCGCCCATGTCCAATTCTACTCTAAACACCCCATAGACACAGTTCACATAACCGGTCCCAGTGAAGAAGAAATCGGAGCAGAAATTGCCCTCTCACCGTCAAATCCTTCAACGATAATTCTTGCTGGTCACCGAAAAACAAAAATCCCCTCTGTCATGTTCCTCATTCGACAAGTGAGTACCAGCATCGATGCTGTCTGGATCGCATTAGATTTATTCGATAGTGAATCTACCCGCGCAGCAACAGATGCTATCAAGAGACTAGAGACTGAGAAAATACATGTTGTCATCGATAATGCTGGAGTTATGGGCGTGCAAAACTATACAACCTCCGAGCAGGGTGTCGGGGTCAATTTGCTGCAAATTACTTAGGTCACTTTCTGTTGACCAACTTGTTGATGAATCGGATTGTCGCAGACAGGGATGAAGGTGCAGTAACCGTTAACTTGAGGAGCTTGGGGTATGAACCGGGCGAGGTGAACCTTAATGATGTTAGCTTTGATGTGCCGGCATGTCGATCTGGTTCTTTCCCCATTGCGAAAACCGTCGGTTGACGGATCTCGGTCATAGGAAGGGCAAACTTACAATGCTTGGAAGGTATTTGGACAATCCAAGACTGCGATGCTTCTCTGGAACATCGCTCTAGGCAAAAGACTGGCCAATAAAGGTATCCCAACAATAATCGTGCAACCAGGAAGTGAGTTGCGTACTATGGTGTGGTGCAACAAAGCTATATTGATAACATTGAAGTCACCTTCGAGACCAAAATTCTTGAAAACTCCAGTGTTGACCAAGAGCAACCCGCAGAGGCGTGCAAGCTTGCCATAGAGAGAGATGAGGGTAAGCAGCTTTACTAATATCAATTCTAGCAACTGATAAGAGAAAACAGGCAAAAAGAGTCAGCCACAGAAAATGGTAAGAAGACAAGAAGCAGCTGGTGTAGTCGTTCGTGCCACACTAGATCCCGCATATAGAGGTATACACTAGTCTTCAATCACCGACGAACTTGCTGATTAGAAGCTCTAATTAGCATTATCTTCGGCGTTTATCGTTGAAGAGAAAGTGAATCCAGGGACTAGGAGCTACGCAACCAGCGAACAAGATACTGAGACACTACGGAAACTGAGGGAATAACTTGTCGGGGAGATATTCGATGTCTAGAAAACAGTATAACCGCGAAAGAAGATTGAAAAGGTCGGACGAACATAATTCACTAGCAACTGAGGGAAACAGCCAGCAAGTAGGTGGAGCTTTTCAATGTTGATCGATTCCAACGAAAGATGGGAACAGTTCTAACTGCAGCACAAAAGGCATTATACTTCCAACACTAATTTCACGCCACTGACTCCTCCTTTCAGCTCGTCCAATGCTTTGTTTGCGGATTCCAATCCCCCATCTACTACTTTGATACTAGGGCTTGGTACAAACTCTCCCGTTTGCAGTTTCTCCTTTAGCCAAGTCCAATAGAGCCATTGTGACCATTCATCCCTTTCGGCATCATCTGTTGGTGCAGCCACAAATTTGATATTCATTCCCTCCACAGCTGGGGGTTGGGGATTCAATCGTATTGCTGATGCCAAATTGGCGACATTGTCACCCTTCGTAGCTTTCAGGATGTCCAAGATGGGTTGCAGTGCACCAGCAGCATCATATGCCAAATCAATTGTAATCCCATCTTCTTTTGCAGACTCCACAACTTTCTCTACGACAGCACTGTCTTTGTAATCAAACACTTTCGAGGCACCGAGTTTCTTGACATACTCATGATTGTGTGGGCTAGCAGTTGCGTATACCACATATCCCATGTTCGCGGCTTGCTGTACACCCGCTCCTCCAACGCTGCTGCTTCCACCCCATACCAAAGCTCCTTTCTTGTCTGAAGGTGTGAATTTTGTATCACGCGCCAAACCAACAGAATACCAAGCAGCCATCGCAGTTTGCACAGCCATGGGAAGAATTGCTCCCTCGTTGAAGCTCATTCTGTCAGGCAACGGACATACACTTGAAGCTGGCACAAGAACTTTCTTCTGAAATGCTCCATGATTTGGATCGCCTTGTGTGAAGAATGCGGGTGCAAAAGCGGTCACTCGTGTTCCCACTTTCGGTGCCGCAGCTGGCACAGATTGGCCGGCAGCAACAACGATGCCAGAAATATCGGATCCGGGAATTGCGGGGTAGGTAGCACAAAACAATCCATGGTCGCGCATATAATGGTCGATTGGGTTACACGCAATTGAGTAAACCTCTATGAGAAGTTCCTTGGGACCGGGAGTTGGGGTAGGCCTGTGAACCAACTTAAAAGGACCACCCTTATCAGGAATGATAGCAGCAAGATGCTGTGAATTTGTTGTTGTTGAGGACATTAGGATATGAGAGATGTTCAGACTTCAAACGATATTTTTGGAATATAGTTGATTGAGGAGAATAGAATTGTGTAATAGAGAGAAGGCCATATCTTTGCCTTTATACCTACCTCACTTCGGAAGTTCGGAGTCATTGCATTTTGGACCCCGAAGAAACTCATAAAATTCAAGGAAGCGGAGATTTCATTGTGCTCGATATCAGCCAACATTCGTTAATCTTCGCCGTTGCATCGTCTCGTTCAGGATATTTCGGATTCAGGCTAATCCCTTATCGTACTCATTCATATTCGTAAGGCTAAAGCTAACCTCGTATCGTATTCCCTAGAGTGGGTCATCTGCCATGGTCGTTAAGGTGATTTGATTGGGTGGAACTATGCGATTCTGGATACTCGTGATCTGTTACTCCTATCTCCTAACACCGGCCTAACGACGTTGGAAGTCTAGATCTTCCGCTCACGTCTGATAGATGGATTTGGTTTACTACCAATGGTGATGAGAAACGATTGACGGAAGAAGCCTGCCATTCTTTGCGATTTTGACATCATGGCGCGTGCAGTTATCACTCGCAAATCCAGGCTCCGCGATTTCTGTCACATTTTACATTTCAATTTCCTAGTACTATCACAATAATACAGCTAATGTTTGATACCCGTAACAGAATCATAGCTTGAGCATCTTCCATAATTGAAATCCTGCCCACCAGTACCAAGGGTGAGTTTATAACTATTGAATCAAGCATCACAGAAATCCCAAGGCTTGCTGCTATAGCTCAGGATACCTCTTCTCAAACAAGATTCACTCCGCACTGTGATTACAATAGAGTGTAAGAAGCCACCACCTTCTGTACCCGAACATAAGACCCACTTTGTCGCTCTATCAAAAGAAAGCAATCCAAGAATGATAATACTCAAAAGGCCAAAAAATTCAAAACGACCAAATACAACACGCATTTGCAGGCATCAAAGCACCATGATAGAATTGCAAAATCATTTTATTTTATTTTTGAAAAAAAAAAAAAAAAAAAAAAAAGACAATCCTAGATAGCAAAAGAGTTCGCGCGCCATGTGCACCAGGCGCGCTACGTCTCTGCTGACCTATTCCGCGGTATCCCTGACTCCGAAGGGATCGAATGCTCCCCACAAAGATACCGCGCGCACCTCGAGTTGTCGTGTCTAACTGTTAAGCTAGATTGTCGCTTTGTCAATACCACCATTTGACGAGGGGTGATGCGATATTTGCAGATATGTTTGTTAGGCGAATAAGGTGGATGGTGAGCTAGTGCAATTGTGACAAAGCCCATAGAAGCAAAAAGTGACCAACGATTAATCAGAAATAAAATATGAAGATAAGACGCCGTGGGCATACTTTCCTGCCCATTCTATCCGTATTCTATCATCCTTTCAGCTGTTTTATTCTGAAAAATGAAATATTTTGATAGTGACAACAGACTCGACAAATGGGAACCAAACTCTATATTTAATCAGGCGCATAATTCCATACAAATTTCAGAGAACAATGGTCTATCCATAACAATAGGGTTGGTACACTTGTAATGCAACTGATTTAACTCCTCAATCGCATACCCTTCTTTCTCATCCCAAACATTGAGATTATCCACAGCAACGATTTTTCGCGCCACCAAACTCAACATGTCTTCAATCAAATGACCAAAGGCGAAGACTTCCATTTTTTCGATCGCCTCTGCATGTTCATAGCCCTTTTGATATATTGTCGCAGCGCCGAAGTCTCCAAGAAGAGCATGACCGGAGTCATCGATCAGAATATTATGCGCGTACAAATCTCCATGGGTAATTCCTCTTTCATGGAGATGCTTACTAGCGGATGCGACAGAGATTAGAATCGCGCGACATTTCTCGATCGAGAAGACAATTTCCGGATGGAAAGCATCGCGTGTACAACTATCAAGAGTTGGCGGAAGACCCAAATTTGTGTAGTGAGGAGGGATGAGCTCGAGTACCAACCCTCTCTTTTCTGGATGGCCATGAATCTTGCCGATTGGATCAATGAGATTCGGGTGACGACCTGCGGTAATGCATGCATTCATTTCGTCTGCTGGTACGCCATCACTGGTCACCTCGCCTTTGAATAACTTGACAGCGACATTCTTTTCGGCTGTAGACGATTTCCACACACCCTTTGAGATTATACCCGAAGCTCCTTCTCCCAAAAGGTGATCGATCTCCAAGTCTGACCAAGAAATATCATCTAATGTTGGATTGTCTTCATTTGACGGGGTGCAAGGGTTTCCAGAGAACGAAAGAAATGATAGTTCGGGAAGACTGAACAACCAAGGGGGTAAACGAGCGATCTTGTTCGCCGACAGTCTCAGTAAGCCCAACTTCCGACAATGAGACATTTCGTCAGGGAGAGACGTCAAGCTATTTCCTGCCAGCATGCATTTTTGAAGTCTATGATAGTTTCCGATGCTGTGGGGTAGAGATTCAATCTTGTTGTTGGTAAGGATCAGCCACCGTAACTTGCGTGGAAAGACTCCTTCGGATATCGTAGTCATTCCATTGTTTTTGAAGGCAATCATTTCTAGGGAACGACACTGAGCCAGTTCTTTGGGGAATTGTATAAAATTGCAGTCGGAAAAGAAAGCAACCTTGAGTTTATGGAGTCGGTGAATCTCTTTGGGAAGTGTTGAGAGAGGGTTATTAGATAGATCAAGAATCTCGAGCGTATCGTAGAGGTCCAAGATCTCTCGAGGGAACTCCGTGAGACCACATGATAACTTCAACCGTCTTGCTCCTTTGCATTTACCTGCTTTAAGGTCATCTAAAGATTGCATCATGGGCTTTGATGGATGCACAGTAATTGTACGTAGAAGAATAGCGAGTGCTGTGTGTGCTGTGTTGAGGATGAGGGTTTGTGGAAAGATAGCAGGTTGGATATCTTCCCAAGTATACTTTAAAATCACGGAAAGTACATACTTCTTGGCTAATAATACAACGAAAGTCCAAATGACACGAAGAAAGGGGTGAGATGGATCTAATGAAAAGGAAATGCTCATGCCAAGCACGTGTTTCGGAGTATGTTGTTCCGGCTCCCAGTCACATGTAAGAGGCGCAAGTAATGTCACTCTATCACCAATTGTAACAAGACCAAGGACGTGAAGTCAACCAGAGTCTAAGGAGTTCAAATAAAAGTGTATTGTGAGACTTCACTTTAATAATTCTTCAATAACCTTGGGTCAAGAAAGCAGCAAAGTTCTATTTCCACTGGAGGTCTATCGCTTCTACCTTCCGTATTCCAAAGCTTTCATCGCTTAAAGTTGCCTAGTCCTAAACTGCAACTTTCACGAATTCGAGCGCATTTATTTACAAGATCGACGACGTGACAACTTATCAGCCTTCTCGATTTTTTGGTTCATATCACCTGAAACTCGACTACCTTAACCTTTTTCTGTCAATATCCTCTCATAATCATGGCATCACAAACAATGAATTCGTCAATGCAACCCACTGACGTTTATGGAGGAGGTAAATACCTTTTTGCCAACCATTTTAAAGGCCCATGAATATATTACTAACAAAATCAATCAGATGAAGTATCTGCCATTGTCATTGACCCGGGATACTCAAGTATACGCGCCGGCTTTGCAGGAGAAGATACCCCTAAATCATTCATCAACTCACATTACGGTGTTCGCGATGGAGAGTCATTTTATGGCGACAACGCGATTCACAACCCCAGCGCGAACCTCGAAATCCGCAATCCAATGAACAAGGATGGAATCGTTGAGGACTGGGATACTGCGGAACAGCTATGGAAATATGCTATTACTTCGCGACTTACGAGTTTCAAGCAGGCGGATCCTAGAACCAACGGACTAAATGATCGACCAGAGGAGATGGAGGCTGATATGGATGTGGATGCGCACGAGAAACCTTTGGAAGAACACCCACTGTTAATGACGGAAACTGCATGGAATACAGCCAAATCTCGAGAGAAGGCTATTGAAGTAGCTATGGAATCTTGGGGAAGCCCCGCCTTTTGGCTCGCGCGAAACAGCGTCCTCGCAGCCTTTGGAGGCGGAAAGGCGACAGCATTGGTGGTCGATGTCGGAGCATCAAACGCATCAGTTATCGCTGTACACGATGGACTTGTACTTAAGAAATCAGTGCAAAGATCCACTCTCGCTGGCAACTGGGTATCCTCCCAAATCCGCGCCATGTTCAACACCGTAGAACCCAAAGTCGAGCTCACTCCGCATTTTATGATCTCATCCAAAACTCCCGTTGACGCAGGCGCCCCAGCCCAGGCTACCTACCGCAACTTCAAAATTCCGCCCACTCCCAGTTTCCGCGCTTTAGAAGAAGAGCGCGTTCTAACAGAATTCAAAGAATCGGTTGTGCAAGTCTGGAGCGGGCCAAATCGTCTGAATGCTCCTACCGGACCTGGAACTTTGACCACGAACGTGGATTATGCGAAACAGCAACCGGGTCGGGTCTTCGAGATGCCAGATGGTTCGAATCAGATGTGGGGTGTAGAGCGATTTAATGTTACAGAAGGTATGTGGGACGAAAAGGCCGCGCTACCTGTAGACAACGAGTCTGCTCCCACAAAAGCCCAAACCCTCCCCGAGATGATCAAGGCTTCTATTGCAGCGGTTGATATGGATCTACGGTCGCATTTGTTACAGAACATTATCGTCACAGGTGGGAGCACGCTACTTAACGGATTCACAGATCGTTTGAATAACGAATTATCAATTCTATACCCGGGCGCTAGAATCAAGTTGCAAGCGGCAGGTCTTACGCAAGAGAGAAGATTTGGGTCGTGGATTGGAGGTAGTATTTTGGGAAGTTTGGGAACCTTCCATCAAATGTGGATTTCAAGGAAGGAATACGAGGAATTTGGTGCCAGTATTGTGGAAAAAAGGTGCAAATAAACGTACTTTCTCTTCCCACAATTATTGCACAGAAAGCCAAAAGTTATGCTTTAGATCTATGGTGGTATGAAATGAAGTGGAAGGT